GGCCGGGCCGGGCCGGGCCGCTCATACTGAGATTTTTCCGTTATATTGAAAAGACTCGCTTCGCTCGCTCGCTCGTAATAAGCCTCTCAAAAGCGTTACAGGCCGGGCCGGGCCAGGCCGGGCCGGGCCGGGCCGGGCGGCTCATACTGAGATTTTTCGGTTATATTGAAAAGACTTCGCTTCGCCCGCTGCGGTCGCTCGCTCGTAATCAATAGTACGATTTATTGAACAGTTGTCACGTCCATGTCACGTCCACCAAATGAGGCAAACTTTCTAAATTAAGAACATTTAAAACATTTACTTAACCCTATTAGTGGCAGGCTCCTGGCTACCCCTATTAGTGGCAGGGTGGCTGTTTACGACCCCCGGCCCTTCCCGAAAAACCTGAGAGGTGGATGAAAACAACCCCCCCCCCCCCGCCACTAATAGGGTTAAAATAAAAGGCTACTAGAACAGCTTACATATTTTTAACACTTTTTAATAAAGCGGCGCATAATTCGGCAACGATGTGCTTGTATGTAATAGCCGTTTTTACGACGGGCTATCCGGCGAATGCACCTGATTTGACCAAATCTGCACCTAATCTCTTTTACATCAAACATGTTTATTTTATGAATTTATTTCAATGTTTTAATCGATGATACTCTCTGATAATATGACAAAGCAGGCATATAAGCAAATACTACAACCCTAGCTGATAGCTCCTAAGAGACACACTGAACCTGATTTGACCAAATTGCACCTAATCTGCACGAGATGTGCACCAAATGTGTACCAGATGGCCGTCGTGAAAACGGCTAATGCCGCACAGTTTCTTTTGCTTGTCTCGACATTTTAATGATGCTGAAAAGTAAAAGTGCCTACGCAATTGAATGAAAGAACAGCGGCATTTATTGTATCCATATTCTTTCCCAGACCACCCTGAAGCTCGGCAACCTCTCACCGGATCTTTCCCAGTACCGCCCAGCGACCGCCCATATGACGTCACACCAACTCAGACTCCGCCTCCCCGGCTGACGGCCCGTACAAATACGGCCGACCGAGCCGACTGACGGCAGATCACAGCCTGAGAGCAAGCAGCCAGTGTCGGTGAATACGAACTGTGTGCGAAAACGAACCCAGGGCAGATACAAGCTCAGAAATCCAATCAGAAGATAATAGCTCAAACCAATGTAAGTAGCAAACGGATTACATTTTCCATTCAACTTACTTCAGACAAACGAAAACACTTCAGAATTTATGCATTCATAAACTAAAAACGAAAGGCTTAAAAAAAAGAGTGCCGAGGCTCAAAATGTGCCAAACTTAGATGCTCAAATTATTGCCAGTAGCGCCGTGCCTGACGTTTCTCCCACCCTCTTACAGATGTCGAGCAGTGGCCGTCTCTGTCTGCTGGTGGTGGCCGCGTGTCTGCTGGCTCCGGCCGCCGTGTCGGCACAGATCCAGTTCTCCGAGGACTGGACTCACGGCAAGCGCGACGTGTCGGCACAGCAGCAGCAGCTGCTGGCAGCGGCCGCCGCCGCCGCCGACGGCGCGCCGCGGCCGCCGCTCAGCCTGCTGGACGTGCTCAGCAAGGCGGCGGCGCAGCAGGCCGCCGGCCAGCAGTGCAAGCCCGACGCCGAGGCGCTCGGACTCATCTACGACCTCATCATGGTGAGTAAAGTCTACAGTGCTTACAAAGATTTGTACGATTTTATTCAAGGTAGCCCAAGGAAAGGGGATTAAATGTCAACTATGCTCAGTAAAAAGTGATGCAGTGTTAGTGTAATTGGTTTAAATGTTTCATCCAAGTCATGAACAGTTGAACTGATGTCCGCTTTTCTTTCTTTCGCAGAGGGAAGTTGAGAAGGTCATCAGCTGCAGAACCCAAAACGGGATGCTGAAACCGGCCTACGCGGCATAGAATCGGGAGCGCGCATAGCTTCTGGTTGAACCAAAGAAGAAACGGCAGTTCCTCAACTCACTCATTGTTAGGGAGTTTATTTATTGTCCCGTCAAGTGGGCCCGGTTTCTAGTGCCGTTTTGCACGGACCAAGTCTGAGGGAAGTCGCAGCGTGCGTTATCCTGAGCAGCAGCAGCACTGGAGCCTGAACAGTCGCCAGCAGCGCTGTGGAGGAAGGCAATGCTGTCTGGAAGCGGAGGCGACTTAAGTCACGCTGGTGCCGACAGCAGAGTGACACCCTCGCCGGGTCTGAGTGGCTCGTCCGTGGAGCCAGAAGGGGCCGCTGCTCCGTGCACATGGAGAGGCTGGCGGCTGCTGTCGTCCATATAGGACTGTTACGGGACCGAGTGAACTGTGATACCTACCCATTGTCTTCATCTCACCTTTCGTTTACATCCTCCCGTGCTTCAGCAACATCAAGCTGCCGACGATGTCTCCTGAATGGAATCATGTTTTTTTCTGGCAGCTGTGTGCAATTGTTGCTATTGATGACGCTTGTGACCAGGACATTCACTCATTTTTAGCTTTTCATGCTTCATATCTAGGCGCTAATGTCAATTACCATTATAGTGTAGCTCGTCTCACCTATACATTAGAGACCTTCCAACACGTTATACAGACATCGTGCACTGTTATTATTGCCATCAGATTAACATCTCATGCGTTTTAAGCTATTTGTATTTATTTGTGTATTTATTGGTATATATTACCCATTTTTTACCATGTGTGAATGTGATTGTCGGCCATCGACAGCTAGCGATCGGTTATATATTGTTTAGTATGGACTACGGTGTTCCAATGAATAGCGTTGCCATTATAAGCACTGCTGTTTTTATGTCGTATGCCATGTTGGCGAGCCAAATACTCATGGTAATAACCGTTTCAATGTATGTGTGCTAACAAATAATACATTCGTGTTTCTAAACTTATTTTGAAAACTTTGGAAAGGAAGTAAGAGGCAAGGGTCTTGTTTGGGATACCCGTGTTAACCCGTGCACCGACGAGTGCGCCAACTTAGAACCGAAGGGGGCGGTTGACCGCCCCCCCCCCCCCTGAGATCTCGAGAACGAAGCAAGATAGCTACAAGCGGTAAACAGCATGGGGTATGCACGGACAAGGTCTACAATTTTTACTAAGGTCATTTTCAGGTCAGGTCAAAGATGACGTCACAGGGGTAAAAAAGTCCAAATGGCGGCGCTAGAAATGAGGAGAGTTTTTCTCGAATAACTTTCGAAATGGCCAAGCTAGGAACAAACCGATGGCGCAGTCGTGATTAGTGATGTCAGTTACGGAAAATCGGAATACCGATACCAAACCAAATACCAACCAAAACCACGAGAAAATACCGAAACCAAACCAACTTGGGAAAATTAGGGAAATGCCAACTTTTTACCGATTTCTTAGCCTCTTATACATTAGTGAGGGTTTATGATACCAACAAAATACCAAACACATTACGATTGAAATACCAAATACCAAGTTGGCATCGGTTTGGTATCGGTATACCAAAAAGTTGGTATCCGATTGACATCTCTAGTCGTGATCCTCTCGTCAGTCCGCATCGAATTATAATAAGTTGACCTCGAAAGGTCAGGATCAAAGGTTGACCTCAGGTCACGTGACCTCAGGGTCATCATGCATATCATTCGATGTGCCTTGACGAGCTGAACACAATGAAACCATCCGCGTGGCTGTATCTCGTTTCTGTAAGGAGTTATTACAAAAAAAAAACTTTGGTGACTCTTGACGTCACATGACCTTACAGACAGTTGCCCAAGAGCAAAAAAAAAAAACAGTCCAGGCTGATCGTGTATGAAGTCATGCATGGTGTATTGGGCCATTCCAACGCGTTTTAGTGGGAAAAGACGAGAGGTATTCAGACGAGAGGATCGGCGTTCATTTTCCCCCATTGACTCATAATGGGAGGTCAAAAAATTGACCTGACCTTAGGTAATCGGTATCAACATTTTGAGATATACAAATTGTAGCTGGCAATGACCTCATTACATCCTACGAGTTTCAAAGGCCTCTGTCATCGACTGTAGCTCTGACACGGTGACAAAGTTGCAAAAAGGTGATTTGAGGTTATGTCATTCGAAGTGACCTGGTGACCTGACCTTGAAAGGGAGGAAATTCAAACCTGCACACCAAGTGTAAAATTGATGAGGAAAGATTCATGCCAAATTTCGCGGCGTTAGCGCCGCGAAATTTGGAAAAACATCAGGGGGGTAACCACCCTCCCCCGTCGGTGCGCGGGTTGAACTATTGATAGTACGAAATATTGAATAATTATCACCTCCACCAAATGGGGCAAACTCTCTAAAAAAAAGAACATTTGAAACATTTATTTAAAAGGCTACTAGAAGAGCTCACATATTTGCAATTGAACGGATCGATGAGAGCAAAGTCAATGCAGCCCAGGATGGATAATAGGCTGCACTACCCGGTCACGAGACTACAGGCTATTGGTTGAATTAAAAAAACAAAAAACAAATGCATAGCGAAATACCAAGCCAATCTACCCAACACACCGACTTTAAGCCGTGCCGGGCAGATGCTCGACGCCACCATCGCCTGACCAGGGGGAGTATTTGAACGTCTCCTGTAAGCAAAACTCGGCTTTTAGGACACGTAGCGATACGCGCTAAGTGGTTGCGAAAAAGCGTCTAGAATTATGATCAATATACGTTGCTAAGTTTTTAGGTAAAATTAGAGCTGAGATTCCTACTTTAACACTCTTTAATAAAGCGGCGCAAAATTCGGGACCGATGTGCATGCCGCACATTTTCTCTTGCTTGTCTCAACATTTTCATGATATTGAAAAGTAAAAGTGTTTATGCAATTAAATCAAAGAACAGCGGTATTTATTGTATCCATATTCTTTCCCAGACCACCCTGAAGCTCGGCAACCTCTCACCGGATCTTTCCCAGTACCGCCCAGCGACCGCCCAGATGACGTCACACCAACTCAGACTCCGCCTCCCCGGCTGGCCGCCGTACAAATACGGCCGACCGAGCCGACCAACGGCAGATCACAGCCTGAGAGCAAGCAGCCAGTGTCGGTGAATACGAACTGTGTGCGAAAACGAACGCAGGGTGCAGATACAAGCTCAGAAATCCAATCAGAAGATAATAGGCCAATCCAATGTAAGTAGCAAACGGATTACATTTTCCATCTATCAATCTTCAGTACTTACCAATTAAAACTAACTACGAATGCATGCGATGAGAGCAGAAATGCTGTCAAAAGGAGTACCATTCATCAAAATCTAATCCACTTTTGCACCGTGCCTGACGTTTCTCCCACCCTCTTACAGATGTCGAGCAGTGGCCGTCTCTGTCTGCTGGTGGTGGCCGCGTGTCTGCTGGCTCCGGCCGCCGTGTCGGCACAGATCCAGTTCTCCGAGGACTGGACTCACGGCAAGCGCGACGTGTCGGCACAGCAGCAGCAGCTGCTGGCAGCGGCCGCCGCCGCCGCCGACGGCGCGCCGCGGCCGCCGCTCAGCCTGCTGGACGTGCTCAGCAAGGCGGCGGCGCAGCAGGCCGCCAGCCAGCAGTGCAAGCCCGACGCCGAGGCGCTCGGACTCATCTACGACCTCATTATGGTGAGTAAAATCTACAGTGCTTACAAAGATTTGTACGATTTTATTCACGGTAGCCCAAGAAAAGGGGATTAAATGTCAACTATGCTCAGTAAAAAGTGATGCAGTGTTAGTGTAATTGGTTTAAATGTTTCATCCAAGTCATGAACAGTTGAACTGATGTCCGCTTTTCTTTCTTTCGCAGAGGGAAGTCGAGAAGGTCATCAGCTGCAGAACCCAAAACGGAATGCTGAAACCGGCCTACGCGGCATAGAATCGGGAGCGCGCATAGCTTCTGGTTGAACCAAAGAAGAAACGGCAGTTCCTCGACTCACTCATCGTCAGGGAGTGTATTTATTGTCCCGTCAAGTGGGCCCGGTTTCTAGTGCCGTTTTGCACGGACCAAGTCTGAGGGAAGTCGCAGCGTGCGGTATCCTGAGCGGCAGCAGCACTGGAGCCTGAACAGTCGCCCGCTGAGTGCGTCTAGCGGCTGGTAGGGACAATTTTGAGACAGTGGTTGCGCGCTATATACAAACTGAATTATCGCAAGGCTACTAAATCAAATTGTATTTGCGCATTGGTGTCCTCGGTCTTTGTTATTGTTTGGGCTGGCTGGCTGCCGACAGGTGTGCGTTTGTTATTTATTTTTGTTTTCGACAGGAAGAGACAACTCACAATTGCGAAGAGATTACCTTTTTGATATTGACACTCAGAAGATTGGTGGAAAATGTGATGAGATTGAGATATTAAAAGATTGAGATGAGGAGTGCCGAGTGAGTGAGCGTTGGTTATTTCATTTTTTGTTTTCATCAGAAGATGGATTGAAATGTGTGATAAACAGGTATTCCAGAGATGATTGTAACCGAAGATCCGAGTTGAAATGGAAAAAAAGCTAGAGAAAACAGTGATTTTTATTGTTACAGTAGTTTGGTTATGATTCTGCAAGCACCTTCGTCAACTCATAACCGCAAGTACCTATTGGGTTTGCGAAGCAGTTTATCAAGGTGTTCATGGATAGGCTTATTTTCAAAGAACAGTAGACTACTGATACGTGTGGTATCATGTGTTTGACCAGCTGATGTTATCTGTTCTGTCATGTGCATTGATAGTAAATATGTGCATGCTTGGGCCCTGGCAAGATGAATAAAAGCATTCATATTTCGTAATAATGTTGCTTTCTCTTCATGACTCATGATATGTTATGGAAGTGTTATGGGGTCTGAATGAAGTCAAACCATAGCTCATTTTGAAATGAATTTCCTGCTGGCTGGAAGCTGCACACACCACATGTAAAACTGAAATTCATTCATTGGTTTTGGCATAAAAATAACAAAGATTATGACAATCAAGTTTTGGAGCCTGGAAGGAGTATTATTCAGTGTTAGAATTCACTAGTGCTGATAATGGTCTTCTAGAGTCTCAATTCCAATTCTGGTTGCAATGCACAAACTCTGATCCACCCTGACACATTCTCACAGACAACTTTCAGCTCTCACAGATGTATTGAAAAACTGCACCATTTTCAATGCATGACAGGTAAGCAGGCACTATCATTGATTGAAGCAGGACCTTCAACGGCACACATTAGACCAGGAAATACAAGCTAGCCCCTTCACATTGATATTCAATTAGGTACATCTCACAAACATCAGAAGGTAGGTCACTATGTTTTTGCTATAATCATAGAATATTGACATTAAATATTGATATTGAATAATAATATTACACTTCCATTTTAGATGACGTTTTAATAACTAAATATAGAAATAAGTTATCATTATGAGTATGGACACAACATCAAACTTGGTGCCCAAAGCACGCCACTCAGCATGCAAGTCAAACTTTAATTTCTGATTAATCTGACAAAACACATGGCTGCAAATATTAATAACATTTTATACTGAAGATTAACCAGTTACACATGCTGCATTATTATGTGAACACAACAGAACATGGTAAATCCAGCAGGAAGTTAGCATTCTGATTCAAATCAAACACAGTCTACAATGATCCATCTGGAATTTGGGAAACCAATAAACCACCAATAAACTCAGTTGGTATTCATTCATTGGCGATATGATTTATATAGATGCACTTCCATAGCTATCTATTTCAATTTATACTTGGGACAACAACCTCTTGCTACTTTCACTTCAGTATCTCAGATTCTTCAGATCACTTCAGTGATCTTTGAATATTTTCATCTCGTCACATTTTCAATCAATCTTCTGAGCGTGTCAATAGCAAAAAGTTATCTCTTCAAAATTATGAGATGTCTTCCTGCCGAAAACAAAAATAAATAACAAACGCACACCCGTCGGCAGCCAGCCAGCCAAAACAATAACAAAGACCGAAGATACCAACGCGCAAATACAATTTGATTTAGTAGCCTTGCGATAATTCAGTTTGTATAAAGCGCGCAAGCACTGTCTCATAATTGTCCCTACCAGCCGCTAGACGCACTCTATGGACGACAGCAGAGCTGCTGGTGCCGACAGCAGAGTGACACCCTCGCCGGGTCTGAGTGCAGCTCGTCCGTGGAGCCAGAAGGGGCCGCTGCTCCGTGCACATGGAGAGGCTGGCGGCTGCTGTCGTCCATATAGGACTGTTACGAGACCGAGTGAACTGTGATACCTACCCATTGTCTTCATCTCGCCTCTCGTTTACATCCTCCCGTGCTTCAGCAACATCAAGCTGCCGACGATGTCTCCTGAATGGAATCATGTTTTTTTCTGGCAGCTGTGTGCAATTGTTGCTATTGATGACGCTTGTGACCAGGACATTCACTCATTTTTAGCTTTTCATGCTTCATATCTAGGCGCTAATGTCAACCATTATAGCGTAGCTCGTCTCACTTATACATTAGAGGCCTTCCAACACGTTGTACAGACATCGTGCACTGTTATTATTTCCATCAGATTAACATCTCATGCGTTTTAAGCTATTTGTATTTATTTGTGTATTTATTGGTATTTATTACCCATTTTTTACCATGTGTGAATGTGATTGTCGGCCATCGACAGCTAGCGATCGGTTATATATTGTTTAGTATGGACTACGGTGTTCCAATGAATAGCGTTGCCATTAGAAGCACTGCTGTTTTCATGTCGTATGCCATGTTGGCGAGCCAAATACTCATGATAATAACCGTTTCAATGTATGTGTTCTAACAATTAATGAATAAATTCGTGTTTCTAAACTTATTTTGAAAACTTTGGAACGAATGTTAGAGGCAAGGGTCTTGTTTGGGATACCCATGTTAACCCGCGCACCGACGGGGGTGTGCGCTAACTTAGAACCGACGGGGGGCGGTTGACCGACCCCCCCCCCCCTGAGATATCGAGAACGAAGCAAGATACCGACAAGCGGTAAACGGCATGAGGTACGCACGGACAAGGTCTACAATTTTTCTGAGGTAGTTTTCAGGTCAGGTCAAATATGAGGTCACAGGGGCCAAAAAAGTCAAAATGGCGGCGCTAGAAATGAAGAGAGCTTTTTTTCTCGAATAACGTTCGAAATGGCCAAGCTAAGAACAAAATGACGGCGCAATCGTAATCCTCTCGTCAGTCTGCATCGAATTATATACATATAAGTTGACTTCGAAAGGTCAGAAACAAAGGCTGACCTCAGGTCACGTGACCTCAAGGTCATCACTAATCATGTATTTCATTCGATATGCCTTGACGAGCTGAACGCAATGAGACCATCCGCCTGGCTGTATCTCGTTTCTGTAAGGAGTTGTCAGCAAAAAAAAAAAAAACTTTGGTGACCCTTGATGACGTCACATGACCTTACTGTTGCCCAAGAGCAAAAAAGGCAGTCAAGGTTGATCATATTCGTGTATGAAGTCATTGGACCATTCCAACGCGTTTTAGTAAAAAAAAGGTTCATTTTCCCCCATTGACTCATATTGGGAGGTCAAGAAATTGACCTGGCCTTAGGTCATCGATATCAAAGCTCCGAGATATACAAATTGTAGCTAGCAATGACCTCATTACATCCTACGACTTTTAAAGGCCTCTGTCATCTACTGTAGCTCTGACACGGTGACAAAGTTGCAAAGAAGTGATTTTAGGGTGTGTCATTTAACGTGAACTGGTGACCTGACCTTGAACGGTAGGAGGTTCAAACCTGCACACCATGTGTAAAATTGATGAGGGAGGATTCATGTCAAATTTCGCGGCGCTAGCTCCGCGAAATTTGGAAAAAAACCTCGGGGGGGGGGGGGGTAACCACCCTCCCCCGTCGGTGCGCGGGTTTAACTATTGATAGTATGAAATATTGAACAATTATCACCTCCACCAAATGAGACAAACTTTCTTAATAAACAACATTTAAAACATTTACTTAAAAAGCTTCTAGAATAGCTCACATATATGCAATTGAATGGATCGATGAGAGCAAAGCCAATGCAGCCCAGGATGAAGAATATAGGCTGCAGTATACCCGATCACGAAATTACATGCTATATTGGTTGAATTTAAAAATCAAATGCATAGCGAAATACCAAGCCAATCTACCCAACACACCGACTTTAAGCCGTGCCGGGCAGATGCTCGACGCCACCATCGCCTGACCAGGGGGAGTATTTGAATGTCTCCTGTAAGTAAAACTCGACTTTTAGGACAAGTAGCGATACGCGCTAAGTTGTTTCTAAAAATGCGCCTAAAATTATGATAAAAATACTTTGCTAAGTTTTTAGGTAAAATTAGAGCTGAGTTTCCTATTTTAACACTTTTTGATAAAACGGCGCATAATTCAGCAACGATGTGCTTGTAATAGCCGTTTTCACGACAGGCTATCCGGCGAGTGCACCTAATTTGACCAAATCCGCACCTAATCTCTTTTACAGCAAATATCTTTATTTCATGAATTTATTTCAGTGTTTTAATCGATGATACTCTCTGATAATAGCCGTTTTCACGACGGCCATCTGGTACACATTTGGTGCACATCTGGTACAGATTAGGTGCAGATTTGGTCAAATCAGGTTCAGTGTGTCTCTTAGCATCTATCAGCCAGGGTTGCACTAATTGCCTATATGCCTGCTTTGTCATATTATCAGAGAGCATCATTGATTAAAACACTGAAATAAATTCATAAAATGAAGATATTTGCTGTAAAAGAAATGACGTGCAGATTTGGTCAAATCAGGTGCATTCGCCGGATAGCACGTCGTGAAAACGGCTAATGTGACAAAGCAGGCATACCTAAGCAAATGCTGCAACCCTAGCTGATAGCTACTAAGAGACACATTGAACCTAATTTGACCAAATCTGCACCTAATCTGCACGAGATGTGCACCAAATGTGTACCAGATGGCCGTCGTGAAAAAGGCTAATGCCGCACAGTTTCTTTTGCTTTTCTCAACATTTTCATGCTGTTGAAAAGTAAAAGTGCCTATGCAATTGAATGAAAGAACAGCGGCATTTATTGTATCCATATTCTTTCCCTGACCACCCTGAAGCTCGGCAACCTCTCACCGGATCTTTCCCAGTACCGCCCAGCGACCGCCCATATGACGTCACACCAACTCAGACTCCGCCTCCCCGGCTGGCCGCCGTACAAATACGGCCGACCGAGCCGACCGACGGCAGATCACAGCCTGAGAGCAAGCAGCCAGTGTCGGTGAATACGAACTGTGTGCGAAAACGAACGCAGGGCAGATACAAGCTCAGAAACCCAATCAGAAGATAATAATTCAAACCAATGTAAGTAGCAAATGGATTACATTTTCCATCTATCAATCTTCAGTACCTACCAATTAAAACTAACTACGAATGTATGCAATAAGAACAGAAATGCTGTCAAAAGGAGTACCATTGCTCAAAATCTAATCCACTTTTGCGCCGTACCTGACGTTTCTCCCACCCTCTTACAGATGTCGAACAGTAGCCATCTCTGTCTGCTGGTGGTGGCCGCGTGTCTGCTGGCTCCGGCCGCCGTGTCGGCACAGATCCAGTTCTCCGAGGACTGGACTCACGGCAAGCGCGACGTGTCGGCACAGCAGCAGCAGCTGCTGGCAGCGGCCGCCGCCGCCGCCGACGGCGCGCCGCGGCCGCCGCTCAGCCTGCTGGACGTGCTCAGCAAGGCGGCGGCGCAGCAGGCCGCCGGCCAGCAGTGCAAGCCCGACGCCGAGGCGCTCGGACTCATCTACGACCTCATCATGGTGAGTAAAGTCTACAGTGCTTACAAAGATTTGTACGATTTTATTCAAGGTAGCCCAAGGAAAGGGGATTAAATGTCAACTATGCTCAGTAAAAAGTGATGCAGTGTTAGTGTAATTGGTTTAAATGTTTCATCCAAGTCATGAACAGTTGACCTGATGTCCGCTTTTCTTTCTTTCGCAGAGGGAAGTTGAGAAGGTCATCAGCTGCAGAACCCAAAACGGGATGCTGAAACCGGCCTACGCGGCATAGAATCGGGAGCGCGCATAGCTTCTGGTTGAACCAAAGAAGAAACGGCAGTTCCTCAACTCACTCATTGTTAGGGAGTTTATTTATTGTCCCGTCAAGTGGGCCGGTTTCTAGTGCCGTTTTGCACGGACCAAGTCTGAGGGAAGTCGCAGCGTGCATTATCCTGAGCAGCAGCAGCACTGGAGCCTGAACAGTCGCCAGCAGCGCTGTGGAGGAAGGCAATGCTGTCTGGAAGCGGAGGCGACTTAAGTCACGCACCAAGAGCTGCTGGCGCCGACAGCAGAGTGCCACCCTCGCCGGGTCTGAGTGGCTCGTCCGTGGAGCCAGAAGGGGCCGCTGCTCCGTGCACATGGAGAGGCTGGCGGTTGCTGTCGTCCATATAGGACTGTTACGGGACCGAGTGAACTGTGATACCTACCCATTGTCTTTATCTCGCCTCTCGTTTACATCCTCCCGTGCTTCAGCAACATCAAGCTGCCGACGATGTCTCCTGAATGGAATCATGTTTTTTTTTTCTGGCAGCTGTGTGCAATTGTTGCTATTGATGACGCTTGTGACCAGGACATTCACTCATTTTTAGCTTTTCATGCTTCATATCTAGGCGCTAATGTCAACCATTATAGCGTAGCTCGTCTCACTTATACATTAGAGGCCTTCCAACACGTTGTACAGACATCGTGCACTGTTATTATTTCCATCAGATTAACATCTCATGCGTTTTAAGCTATTTGTATTTATTTGTGTATTTATTGGTATTTATTACCCATTTTTTACCATGTGTGAATGTGATTGTCGGCCATCGACAGCTAGCGATCGGTTATATATTGTTTAGTATGGACTACGGTGTTCCAATGAATAGCGTTGCCATTAGAAGCACTGCTGTTTTCATGTCGTATGCCATGTTGGCGAGCCAAATACTCATGATAATAACCGTTTCAATGTATGTGTTCTAACAATTAATAAATAAATTCGTGTTTCTAAACTTATTTTGAAAACTTTGGAACGAATGTTAGAGGCAAGGGTCTTGTTTGGGATACCCATGTTAACCCGCGCACCGACGGGGGTGTGCGCTAACTTAGAACCGACGGGGGGCGGTTGACCGACCCCCCCCCCCCCCTGAGATATCGAGAACGAAGCAAGATACCGACAAGCGATAAACGGCATGGGGTACGCACGGACAAGGTCTACAATTTTTCTGAGGTAGTTTTCAGGTCAGGTCAAATATGATGTCACAGGGGCCAAAAAAGTCAAAATGGCGGCGCTAGAAATGAAGAGAGCTTTTTTTCTCGAATAACGTTCGAAATGGCCAAGCTAGGAACAAAGTGATGGCGCAATCGTAATCCTCTCGTCAGTCTGCATCGAATTATATACATATAAGTTGACTTCGAAAGGTCAGAAACAAAGGCTGACCTCAGGTCACGTGACCTCAAGGTCATCACTAATCATGTATTTCATTCGATATGCCTTGACGAGCTGAACGCAATGAGACCATCCGCCTGGCTGTATCTCGTTTCTGTAAGGAGTTGTCAGCAAAAAAAAAAAAAAACTTTGGTGACCATTGATGACGTCACATGACCTTACTGTTGCCCAAGAGCAAAAAAGGCAGTCAAGGTTGATCATATTCGTGTATGAAGGCATTGAACCATTCCAACGCGTTTTAGTAAAAAAAGGTTCATTTTCTCCCATTGACTCATATTGGGAGGTCAAGAAATTGACCTGGCCTTAGGTCATCGATATCAAAGCTCCGAGACATACAAATTGTAGCTAGCAATGACCTCATTACATCCTACGACTTTTAAAGGCCTCTGTCATCTACTGTAGCTCTGACACGGTGACAAAGTTGCAAAGAAGTGATTTTAGGGTGTGTCATTTAACGTGAACTGGTGACCTGACCTTGAACGGTAGGAGGTTCAAACCTGCACACCATGTGTAAAATTGATGAGGGAGGATTCATGTCAAATTTCGCGGCGCTAGCTCCGCGAAATTTGGAAAAAAACCTCGGGGGGGGGGGGGTAACCACCCTCCCCCGTCGGTGCGCGGGTTTAACTATTGATAGTATGAAATATTGAACAATTATCACCTCCACCAAATGAGACAAACTTTCTTAATAAACAACATTTAAAACATTTACTTAAAAAGCTTCTAGAATAGCTCACATATATGCAATTGAATGGATCGATGAGAGCAAAGCCAATGCAGCCCAGGATGAAGAATATAGGCTGCAGTATACCCGATCACGAAATTACATGCTATATTGGTTGAATTTAAAAATCAAATGCATAGCGAAATACCAAGCCAATCTACCCAACACACCGACTTTAAGCCGTGCCGGGCAGATGCTCGACGCCACCATCGCCTGACCAGGGGGAGTATTTGAATGTCTCCTGTAAGTAAAACTCGACTTTTAGGACAAGTAGCGATACGCGCTAAGTTGTTTCTAAAAATGCGCCTAAAATTATGATAAAAATACTTTGCTAAGTTTTTAGGTAAAATTAGAGCTGAGTTTCCTATTTTAACACTTTTTGATAAAACGGCGCATAATTCAGCTAATAGCCGTTTTCACGACAGGCTATCCGGCGAGTGCACCTAATTTGACCAAATCCGCACCTAATCTCTTTTACAGCAAATATCTTTATTTCATGAATTTATTTCAGTGTTTTAATCGATGATACTCTCTGATAATAGCCGTTTTCACGACGGCCATCTGGTACACATTTGGTGCACATCTGGTACAGATTAGGTGCAGATTTGGTCAAATCAGGTTCAGTGTGTCTCTTAGCATCTATCAGCCAGGGTTGCACTAATTGCCTATATGCCTGCTTTGTCATATTATCAGAGAGCATCATTGATTAAAACACTGAAATAAATTCATAAAATGAAGATATTTGCTGTAAAAGAAATGACGTGCAGATTTGGTCAAATCAGGTGCATTCGCCGGATAGCACGTCGTGAAAACGGCTAATGTGACAAAGCAGGCATACCTAAGCAAATGCTGCAACCCTAGCTGATAGCTACTAAGAGACACATTGAACCTAATTTGACCAAATCTGCACCTAATCTGCACGAGATGTGCACCAAATGTGTACCAGATGGCCGTCGTGAAAAAGGCTAATGCCGCACAGTTTCTTTTGCTTTTCTCAACATTTTCATGCTGTTGAAAAGTAAAAGTGCCTATGCAATTGAATGAAAGAACAGCGGCATTTATTGTATCCATATTCTTTCCCTGACCACCCTGAAGCTCGGCAACCTCTCACCGGATCTTTCCCAGTACCGCCCAGCGACCGCCCATATGACGTCACACCAACTCAGACTCCGCCTCCCCGGCTGACCGCCGTACAAATACGGCCGACCGAGCCGACCGACGGCAGATCACAGCCTGAGAGCAAGCAGCCAGTGTCGGTGAATACGAACTGTGTGCGAAAACGAACGCAGGGCAGATACAAGCTCAGAAACCCAATCAGAAGATAATAATTCAAACCAATGTAAGTAGCAAATGGATTACATTTTCCATCTATCAATCTTCAGTACCTACCAATTAAAACTAACTACGAATGTATGCAATAAGAACAGAAATGCTGTCAAAAGGAGTACCATTGCTCAAAATCTAATCCACTTTTGCGCCGTACCTGACGTTTCTCCCACCCTCTTACAGATGTCGAACAGTAGCCATCTCTGTCTGCTGGTGGTGGCCGCGTGTCTGCTGGCTCCGGCCGCCGTGTCGGCACAGATCCAGTTCTCCGAGGACTGGACTCACGGCAAGCGCGACGTGTCGGCACAGCAGCAGCAGCTGCTGGCAGCGGCCGCCGCCGCCGCCGACGGCGCGCCGCGGCCGCCGCTCAGCCTGCTGGACGTGCTCAGCAAGGCGGCGGCGCAGCAGGCCGCCGGCCAGCAGTGCAAGCCCGACGCCGAGGCGCTCGGACTCATCTACGACCTCATCATGGTGAGTAAAGTCTACAGTGCTTACAAAGATTTGTACGATTTTATTCAAGGTAGCCCAAGGAAAGGGGATTAAATGTCAACTATGCTCAGTAAAAAGTGATGCAGTGTTAGTGTAATTGGTTTAAATGTTTCATCCAAGTCATGAACAGTTGACCTGATGTCCGCTTTTCTTTCTTTCGCAGAGGGAAGTTGAGAAGGTCATCAGCTGCAGAACCCAAAACGGGATGCTGAAACCGGCCTACGCGGCATAGAATCGGGAGCGCGCATAGCTTCTGGTTGAACCAAAGAAGAAACGGCAGTTCCTCAACTCACTCATTGTTAGGGAGTTTATTTATTGTCCCGTCAAGTGGGCTGGTTTCTAGTGCCGTTTTGCACGGACCAAGTCTGAGGGAAGTCGCAGCGTGCATTATCCTGAGCAGCAGCAGCACTGGAGCCTGAACAGTCGCCAGCAGCGCTGTGGAGGAAGGCAATGCTGTCTGGAAGCGGAGGCGACTTAAGTCACGCACCAAGAGCTGCTGGCGCCGACAGCAGAGTGCCACCCTCGCCGGGTCTGAGTGGCTCGTCCGTGGAGCCAGAAGGGGCCGCTGCTCCGTGCACATGGAGAGGCTGGCGGTTGCTGTCGTCCATATAGGACTGTTACGGGACCGAGTGAACTGTGATACCTACCCATTGTCTTTATCTCGCCTCTCGTTTACATCCTCCCGTGCTTCAGCAACATCAAGCTGCCGACGATGTCTCCTGAATGGAATCATGTTTTTTTTTTCTGGCAGCTGTGTGCAATTGTTGCTATTGATGACGCTTGTGACCAGGACATTCACTCATTTTTAGCTTTTCATGCTTCATATCTAGGCGCTAATGTCAACCATTATAGCGTAGCTCGTCTCACTTATACATTAGAGGCCTTCCAACACGTTGTACAGACATCGTGCACTGTTATTATTTCCATCAGATTAACATCTCATGCGTTTTAAGCTATTTGTATTTATTTGTGTATTTATTGGTATTTATTACCCATTTTTTACCATGTGTGAATGTGATTGTCGGCCATCGACAGCTAGCGATCGGTTATATATTGTTTAGTATGGACTACGGTGTTCCAATGAATAGCGTTGCCATTAGAAGCACTGCTGTTTTCATGTCGTATGCCATGTTGGCGAGCCAAATACTCATGATAATAACCGTTTCAATGTATGTGTTCTAACAATTAATAAATAAATTCGTGTTTCTAAACTTATTTTGAAAACTTTGGAACGAATGTTAGAGGCAAGGGTCTTGTTTGGGATACCCATGTTAACCCGCGCACCGACGGGGGTGTGCGCTAACTTAGAACCGACGGGGGGCGGTTGACCGACCCCCCCCCCCCTGAGATATCGAGAACGAAGCAAGATACCGACAAGCGATAAACGGCATGGGGTACGCACGGACAAGGTCTACAATTTTTCTGAGGTAGTTTTCAGGTCAGGTCAAATATGACGTCACAGGGGCCAAAAAAGTCAAAATGGCGGCGCTAGAAATGAAGAGAGCTTTTTTTCTCGAATAACGTTCGAAATGGCCA